TGGTTAAGGATTTCCTGAAGCATATTTCGTTAGGGAGTATCCTTTTCATATTAATATTTAGTCACAAAAGATTAATTCAGGCTTAGGATCTGTAACCCAATACTCCATAAAGTTGCCTAGGTTTCTTTTAATTGTATTAACTTGCTAATCTTATATCTTTTATAGATTTACATAAGATAAAACAGAATTAATCCATACTTCTTGGGTAGTCTCTGTTACGGAAGAGTTCTTCCATTATATTTACACAGAATAACAGACGCATTTCCATTACAATTTCCATCCTAAATGTGTCTGAGAACAATGAAATGGTAATGCCAAATTGTGTCCTTTGTCTTTCACAGCTGCCGAATGATAATGGAGATGATAATGAGGCTGTAACTGGGCCACAAGCGTAGACCGAAGGGAAGTGTCAGTCAAGAGCGGAAATCAAGAAGATAGAGTGGAACGGGGGGATTCCCAGGAGCAGAAGGACACCAACCAGCAGACACCATCCGAGTTCAAGGAACTAACAAACAATGAATCCCTACACGCGGGCGGGGGAGGAGCTGGTGGCGCCAATCCCTTTGGAGCACCAGCAACGGGTGCAGGCTATGGCCAGCAGGGCTACGGATACGAGCAGCAGGCAACAGGTGGCTATGACCAGGGAATGAACTATGGCGATCAGCAGCAACAGCAAGCAGCTGGATACGGTCCACCGGGAGCCAGACCACGCGTGGATGTGGAGGCCAGTGGCGAGGTGGATCCCAATCTGTAAGTCCCAGAGATTAAGAATAAGTTGCTTAACTAATTTATTATATTTTTCCATAGATACCCGGAGGCTAAGGACTCAACGCACAAAGTACGCGGCCACTCGGACATCCTGGAGATGTTCTTTGGGCGAGCACGGAACGCGAGCTGATTCCCGTAAAGAGCTTCTACTTCTTCTTCTACGCCGCCTTCGGATCACTGTTTCCGCTGATGGGCGTGTACTTCAAGCAGATGGGCATGAATCCGGGACAGTGCGGCATCCTGGTGGGCATGCGTCCCTTCGTTGAGTTCCTCTCGGCCCCGTTTTGGGGCTCCTATGCGGATCGCTGTCGGCAGGGCAAGCGGCTGCTCCTGGGCTCGCTGGCCTGTTGGGTCCTCTTCACCATCCCACTGAGCTTCATCCGGCCGGAGGCCATCAATTGTATCGAACGGAGGAATGCCACAGACTTTGTGCTGACCTATACGCGCACCAAGCGGGATCTCTCCTCCATGTACGAGCCAGAACCGGAGCGGATGGATCAGCTGATGGGCACAATGCCAGCGGAAGAGGCTCTGGAGGAGGCGGAAGCTGCTCATAGCCGGCACAAGAGATCGCTCCTGCTGCCCAGGATTGATGCAGGCATCTCGCCGGTTCACATCAACTTTGTAAGCAACTATGACGACAAGTACCACAGGGACTATGTGACGCCCATCTTTAGCTCCATGGTCTACAGGACACCGGTAAGTTGGTTTATCTATATAATATAAGAACAAAATGCATTTCATTTAGAATATTATATATTTTTATTATTCTGATTGATTTCTAGTTAAATCTTAAATCACTTTATTTAATGTCTGAAGAAAGTCTTGCCATAATTTAATAATTACTTTATAAAAAGATTCTTATTTGATTGACAGTAAGAAAAGGTTTTACAATTGTATTCTAATATTATAAATCTTGTTAGCACTTTGTTTTTTAAGGAATATAATACTTTTAAACATCAACTGACTTAAATATTATAGTTTTACTTCGGTTTCTGTTTTTGAATGGATCATTTTACCATTAATCACAATATAAGGCTTGCATGTAAGCTCTAATTAATGTTTGATATACTTTCAGGTTCCTATAATTTTATTAACAGATTTATGATTAGTTAACCTTAATTAAAGACATACTAATTTGTTGTGATAAAACTTAAATTTGAAAAGCAAGATATAAACAATTTCTAATAATTTTAAATGAAACAATTTCAATCTTAATCAGATATTAAAATGAAATCAAATAGAAATCTCTAAATATCCAAAATTAAACTAAAATTAAATTCCTCTTTATAAACCCTAGCATATATATGTTTATCCAAATACTAATATTATCCTCTATTACCCCAAAAAACAGGACATTCAAAAGGCGTTCTTCCTGCTCCTGCTGGTAATCCTGATCGGTGAATTCTTCAGCGCTCCTGCTATCACTCTGGCCGACTCCGCTGTGATAACGCTGCTGGGCGAGGATGCGGACAAGTACGGACATCAGCGGATGTTTGGCTCCCTGGGATGGGGCATCTCCATGTTCCTGGTGGGCATCGCTCTGGATCACTCCACCTCGTTCTCGAACCATCCGTGCGGGGCGCAGAACAAGGAAAGAACTACAACATTTGCTTCTCCATCTTCTCCGTGCTGATGACCTGTGCGATATATCCGCCTCGAAGATCACCTTCAAGTACGATCCCATCGACGAGCAACAGGCGGCCCAGCAGGCGGCGTCACAGTTTGTGGATCCTGGAAAGAGGGCCGAGGAGGAGTCAATGAACCAACTGGCCGCCCAGCTAAACCTGCCATCGCTGGCAGTGGTAGCGGCAGTGCCGCCTCCGGTGCCTGTGCCGGTGGCGTGAGTAGCTTCCTGGCCGCCGGTCATCAGCCGCAGCCGCATATCGGCGCCGAGTCCAAGGTGTTTGCGCAGACGGCGAAAGAGTTACCCGAATGGATGACCGTACTGACCCATTTCAAGGACCTGAAGACCGCTTCCTTTCTCTTTGTGGCCTGGTTCATGGGCTTCGGCATCGGGCTGATCTTCACCTTTCTGTTCTGGCATCTCCAGGACTATGGCGGCACTCCCACGCTCTTTGGCGTTGCGTCCGTGATCAACCATGTGTCCGAGATCTTTGCATACTTTTTCAGCTTCCGTCTGATCACCCAGATTGGTCATGTCAAGGTCCTATGTCTGGGCCTAATTGGCAATGTCCTGCGCTTCCTTTATATCTCCTATCTAACCAATCCGTGGATGGTCCTGCCCTTCGAACTGATGCAGGGCATCACCCATGCCGCCGTGTGGGCAGCCTCCTGCTCGTATATTGCTCACAACACACCGAGCATCTGAGGGCCTCGGCGCAGGGTGTACTCCAGGGTATCCATCACGGATTGGGACGCGGCTGCGGTGCCATCATTGGCGGCATGTTTGTCACTTACTACGGTACTACTGCTACCTTCCGCTGGTACGGCATTGCCTGCCTCTTCGTCCTCGGCTTCTTCATCTTTGTCAACTTTTATCGCAAGGAGCAGGGCTTCATTTCGGAGATTCCGGTCACCGAGGATCCGCATCAGGTGAGAGAGGAGAAATGTAATAATTAAATCATTTACTAAGTAATCTTTTTTAGGTGGCCGAGGAGACCTCGCACTTGGCTCCACATGGTGTTCCCAGCAATCCCATTCCCCGGCTCTGTCCAACTCGCGCCTGAATGAGATGAATCCGAATGGAGGACCCTATGGCACATACCAGACCACTGGCGGCAACCTGGATATTCCCGGAGCTAACCAGCACAATCCGTTTGCCCAGTAAACTGTCGCGAATCCTGTCAGAAATCGCCAGTCAGGCCATCATCTCGTTAATCATAAAACTAACAAAGAAATGAAAGAAAAACTAAAACGAACAAAGTATAACCGCAAACATATCTTGGACATTGGCCTGCAATATGAATTGCATAACTGCATTGCTTTAACATAATTTTATTTTGTTGATCTACACATATATAGCATATAGCATATAGCATATACATATACACATATAATATATTTTATATAGGACATGCAACATGCAACCACATGCAACATAGCCAGCATAAAGATTACATATGATTTACATTGATTTTTACATGTATTAGAGTGAAGTGAAGGAGGAAATCGAAACGAATTTTCACATAGCAGCTTAGCAATAAACATAGTGCAATATAGATATGTACATATATATATATATATATATATATATTGTGCGGATCTATAATATTTATAGGCCTTTTTATATATTTGTTGCATGGCATTATTCTAAGTTCTCAAGCCCACTTTTGGGCGATCACCAAGCCAGATAGATCACACATACGCCCGGGTGACCCCCGAAAATCACAAACATAAAGTACCTATACTACAAAAATATGCAGAGATTAAAATCATTAAACATAAAATTTATAAAAATAAAACTATGTAAATACGGAGCGCCTTTCAAGGCTATAAGACATTGGGAAGCAGCGTAAACTGCTTCGTTTAGCCGCTGTTGATTATGAATATAATGTTCACCAAACTAATTTAGATTATCCTTTGTCTTATGGCCTTGAAACGCACCGTATGTGATTCCCAGACATGAGGTTGAGGAAATTAATACCAAATAACTTTAAATTCCTTTTATTTCTGGAACAAGTTTAGGGGTAAAATAAATATTCTTGGTTTCAAATACTTTCCAAGTTCAAGAATGTTTCCTTTAGAATGTTTTGGTAGAAAGTTTATTTAATAACCTTTAAGAAACGTTACAAATTAATTCCCAAAAATGTTATATGCAATATTATGATGAAGAAACAAAATCAAGCAAGTTAAAGGAATATTAAAGAAATATAAATGTAGTTGCATTGAAAAACAAAAAGGGAGACATTTAACTAAAACTAAAACAGAAAGTGTAGTGACTGGAGGATAAAACAGAGGAAAACAAGTAAAACAATCCAGAACTAAAACCAAAGGATAAACAAATGTTGTAACGAATGATATTATGGAAATCCGCCTCATTGCAATCAAGTGTTGAATATTTTAATTTTTACACAAAAATATACGAGTACTAAACATACATATTTTGACATACTTAAAAAGAGAAACCTATAACATAGAGAAGTATATAACGTACGTTTATACATACATATAGTATATGGAAGAAGACGCACCAAACAAAAATAATGTGGAAAAGCAAACTACACTAAACTGTATCTGTACCTAAGAGATATTTTTCCTGATTTCAGCTCGGCGATAATGTAAGCTAATCCAGCCAATCTCTCGCTCGATATACATATAAAACATTAAATGAAACATAAAGGTATAAATACTATATATTGTTGATAGCAAATTTGATTGGCATTGGATATTTTCTTGTAACGATACGCTAGTTCTCGTGTACAGCACCGTACTTAATATATACATATATTTGTGGAGATTTTTCGGATAGACTAACCTTAGTATTATGCATTCTGTACAACTGCACTCACAGTTATGTTTGTTGAGCCGTATTTAATGAAACTCTCTCTCTATTAAATATATATATATTTAAATGGAATATAGATACTCATATAGGGTATACACACTTATATATGAATGTACAAGTATTATACACAATGCGCATACATATGATACAAAAGGATACAATACCCAATACCCCAATACCCCATACCCCGACCCAATAAAAAAAAAGAACAAGAACCCGAAATGGCAAGTGAACGCAAGAAATCATGTAATTATGTATGTTTAATAAAACGTTTAACTACCGAGTGAAGTCTAAAGACAAAGGCACAACTTATTTCGCCAACCATCTGTGTTTGTTCTTCGCCTCTGGGCATTAACCTATATAAATCGGATCGCATCGTGTGGGAGTAAGTAAAATGCGACTTCTACTTTGATTGTTGGCTGTCTGTTCTGCTTGGTTTTTGGCCAGATCAATGAACAGAGTGCCGGCCACCATCTGTATTTTAGCTAAACCAGTTATTAATCCCAGGCGAGCTCCACCATCATCAGACCTCCGAGGCCACCACCACCAAAGGTTGTTCGACCTCCTGTGAACCACCTATCAAAAGACCACCGATTGTACCTCCTAGGATAACGAGAAGACCACCGATTGCTCCTCCTAGAATCACCAGAAGGCCACCGATTGCTCCTCCTAGGATCACCAGAAGACCACCAATTCCACCTGCCACCAGGAAACCCACAAGACGGCCAGTTACCGCCAGACCAATTAACCCAGTGCGAACCACAAGAAAGTTTTTGATTTGGTCAAAGAGTCCCACAAGACTTTTACCCACCAGGCCACATATAAGACCAACTTTATGGACTAGGCCGAATATAAGACCCACCAGACCTCCAGTGCGTCCTCCTTTGCCCACCGTTCGTCCCACAGTTCCCAGGGTTCGCCCCACTTTATGGACCAGACCTCCTTAAGAGTTACAATAAGACCCACTAATAGACCTCCTGTAACAAGACCACCTGTAAGACCAACCACTAGACCACCCAGACCGACAATGCGTCCTACAAGACCCACCCTTTGGACAAGATCACCCACTCGAAATACACAACAAACCACTAGACGTTTAACCTTCATCTTTGAGGGATCTTCTGCTTCTCCTGTAACACCAAGGGTCATCACTCAAGATCCTAGAATAACAAGAACGACAAAGAGGTTAATCTTTATATTTCCAAGGGACACCACGCCATGGCAGAGGTCCAAATTGGACTGTTCATCCCACAGGTCGTCCTCGAAGAGTTACTTAGTAGCATAAAACAGAATGATGAATTTAAATAAACTTTAAAGTATTAACTTATTTTCTTGACTATTATCTGGATAACATATGCTTCATTCTGTGAGTATTTTCTGGATTCACGCGATGTTAAATTCTTTATAGCTCACAGCCAAGCGAAAAGACTGTAAAGTTTGCAGTTAATTTTCATTTAAAGGTGCACTGCAAACGTGAAATAAATTAAATAAAACATGGCTCGCATGAGTAACGACTGTGAGATACCCCATAAACTGTTTATTATTAGTCTTTAAATATCAGAAATTTCGTGAGGCAATTCAAATTATAAATATGTATAGAAGAAATGTTTAATACCTCGGATCAACTCTACAAAATTTACTAGCTTCAACCAACTCAAGCTCAAAGAGTCGTGAAATAAACTCATTACTTAAAACCGAGTTTTATGCAGAGCAAATTTGGTGGACTTTGGCTTTAACGACACCCCATCTCCCTGACAAATGGCTCCGAAGTGCCAACATGCCCCATCTTAAAGCCCTGCCCGGATGATGTTGATGGGATGTGAGGATGAGGCGGGCAAAAAGTAGTTTGCGGCATACCGGAAACGCTTCAAGTTTGCTGAGCTCATTCGTCTCTGCGATTTGTTGGCATTTCAACGGGGCTGACGTGCTGGGCTGCCAGTTTGGGGGCAGGTTGGGCGTTGGGCATTGGGCGTTCCAAGTGGGTGGCTTGAAGAGGAGGCGTGCAGTGCCTGCTCATGCAATGATAAATGAAGTTTTAGTGGCTTTTGACCCATTTAATAAATTGTTAAAGTTGAAAAATGCACAAGAATATTGTAAACTTGTTGGCTTTCCTTACATTTCTCTATCGCTCTCTCAGTCGTTATTTAAATTTACTCTAGAAGAGGGTACAAATAATACATATAAGAATATATATAAATTAAATGGTAAATAATGGTTATATTAACTAGAAATCCTGATGCGAATTTGTGTCATTTCTTAACTTGAAGTAAGTAGATGTTACGACCCAAAACAAGATGATTTTTTTATGAAAAAGTAACTTAGACATAGAGTTTATATTTTGATCTTAAATATCAGTGTAATAAAACTTCGACTCGCCTTGGTAGCCATCCTTGCTGGCTTTTTATTTGCTACCTATTTTGTTGCTGTTGTTGCCACATTCTGAATTAGGGTTAATTTAAAAGTTGCCATTGCAACACTGACCCATGGTGAGCGAAGTTGCAGCTTGTAGTCGTAGTCGCAGTTGCTGGCATGTTGCAAAAACTTTGCCGCTCACTTTTCATGCCCCACTTCAGAAGTTCTGTTGAATTTTAAATAATTCTGTTAAATTGCATAACGTGACCAGATGTCCGGCAGCATCGCCATCCCGAGAACTTTGGACTTTCTGCTTATTAAGTTACCAGCACTGGCGGCAGCGACGACAGTTTTCATTTAACGTGATTATGCGCCATTAAAAAATTGTTTATTGCCACAAACTACGAAGGAGCCGAGGAGAAATTCAACTCAAATATCCATGACAATAAATAAGGGAAACGGGTTGGGGTTGAGGGGATTTCGCTGAATCCTCTCCAGCCATAATAAGCAGCATAAAAAGTCCTGGCAAGGGTCTATTAGAGCCAGGACTAAGCAGCTTGCTTGGTCCTCTTCCTTTTGGACTTCTCCCCCACCCAAAAAAAAAGGAAACCAGAAAACATAGTATCCTTGTGGAATCCTTTGCCCCTTCCCTGTCAAACGTATATATCCTTGGCTATATAAACAATTTTCCTTTATGCAAAAATAACAAGCAACAAGAATGCATTTTTGCATAAGAAAGCCCCGGCTGAAGTTGAAGTATGAAGGCAGGACGCAAATCCTCGAAGGCTCCACGACACAGTCAGGCCAAAATGCAATCCGAGCTTTGTGTTGCAATGAACAATCGCAATGCCAGGCTGCCTTTTGATTGGGGGATTACCGGGGATGCTCCATGGACTTCTGGGAGGTTATTAAAAGGCATCAGGATGATGTAAGAGCATGCATGTAGCAGATGTAGCAGATGTTCAGTGACCCATTTGGAACCTC